TCACCTTGGGGGCATAGAGGGCACAGGGGTCCATGTTACCCTGCAGGCTGATCTTGCCTCCAGTTCGCTCCCTGGAAGCACAGATAGGCATCAGCATAGTCAAGCCAGAAGCCCCCAACATGCCCCGGTCACACCTACCCATGACATGCCGCTGGTGGAAGCCGCTTTCTGCTGAATTGTGTGGCTCTCGGTAAGTGATCTCACCTGGCTGACCGTGGATCGATGGTCCAGTCCAGACCCACCACCTCGTAATGCGACTCGGCGAGATCCTCCAGGGCATAGTGGCCGTCCTTCGCAAACACAATCTGGGATAAATCAGAATAAATCAGAGTATAGTCAGTGCTCTACATACCTACCAGCTGGTCAACAAGCACCCCCTACTGGTCAAATACTGAAGCACAGTATCTTTTCCTGGTTTTTGTATTACCTCTAAAGGCCAATTCACACCACTTTTCCACGTGCACTTTTAGACGTGGACAGGGTGATGCAACAAATTTAATCAGGCCAACGACTGCAGTCAGTGTGCGTGTAGCCCAGCTTTTTATGTCTAGGGAATACCACGAGCATCCATGCACATTACCCACGCATGTGCAAGATCATTGATTTGCTATTTCCAGTAGGTGGCAGCGTGGAGTTTCACAGATCAGCAGTCAACAACAAGAGTAGAGGAAGAATAGCTGTTATTGTTCGTGTAGTTATGGCGAGCAGCTGTATGAGGAGTGTCGGAGGGACCCGCATATCTAACTTTTTCATACTGTCCAGACAACATACTGACATATACGGTATTTTAAAAAGCAGCACAATTCAGGAGGAGGATGAAATGCACAAATGCCAGGTTTTGCACAGCAGTCTGAGGCGTGAGACATGAATCACATTGGGCCCACAAGTCATTTACTGGAAAATATTTACTGCAATATTTTGAAATATTGGTGATAAAGTTTACCAAGCATCCGGGCTAATTTTGTCACAAGGAGTTCAATATACCACAGTATACCATAAGTAAGGTAATGCTTCCCAATAACTTTAAAACTGTTCCTTAAAGTTTACCCATTTCACTACACTGTATTTGTGATCGTACATCTGCCCTCTGCTGATCTGGTGGAATATCACTGCTGTATGTATCTGCGACCATCCGCATCCAAAGCCAAATGTAGTATGAACATAAGCTGCTGAAAACCGCAGCCTGAAAGTGCACATGGAAAAGCGAAGTATGAAAATGGTCTTAAAGATGGCTGCATACTTCGAATGACATCCAGACAAAACAAACACTTAACAGGTCAGCAAGAACAGTCTGGCATATACTTAAAATGATGCCGCCTTACTTGTTCATGATTTGTTGTTCGTTCTCACTCCACCTTGAACCTTGAATTTCTACCCATGAACTGTAGGTATGGATGTGCCCTCATATAAATGTGGATAACTTTGCACGAGTTCAGCAAATCTTCCTTCAAAGGCGTTCATGATCGTAAGGCCTTTTTGCTTTGACTACCCGAGGGCTACAGGACACTAGTGGCGCTACAGACCACGTGCTATGTGCAGCCAGTTGTGGACAGTGGGTGGGATCAGAACAAACGAAAGCGTTTGTCTCAGTGCCCCTGCGCAGCCATCCCCGCATACTGCTAAAATCACCTTGACATTGTTTGAAGTATGCAGCCACTTTAATGAACAGCTATGATTTATGGCAGTTAAATTAAAATGAGGGCAGAACAGTCATGTTGCTCCTCCCCCCTCCCCCAACATCGATGCCTCACCGCGGTCTCCGCTGTGGAAGTCACTCACCATTGGCACATTGTCCAACCCCAAGTCCTTCGTCTTGTCCTTGACCCTTCTGGCAATGTCCCGCAGGTAGGGCAGAGCGAACTCCCTAAACTCCCTGGGGCCCAGGCAGCCGGCGTGCGACTCGAACACCTGCAGGGCCTGGCAGGGTGATGTGACATGGCGGTTATCCCCATTGCAGGAGAGTACGGGGTGGGTAGAGTCACACTCCCATTACACTGTGCAGGTCATTTGCATGCTGCAAGTTAATCTCCAGTTCAGTCAAAAAACATGGGAACACTGACGGTCAGATGAGAGCTGACCCAGCTGCTCTGCCACACGCACCTGTGCCCCCGCTGCCACCTGCGCCAGAAGGTACTCCACAATGACGTCCGTCAGCTGCTTCAGCAGTCTGTGGCTGGCCTCCGGGTGGCAGTAGAGCCAACGCTTGGCTTTGGACTGTGTGGTGGAACCTCCACCCTCGATCATGTAGGTCATGAGAGTCCACTGCAGAGGCACAGGTTTGAGATGTCACAGCTCATGCAGTGAATGTGGCTTTGATCCCAGTCAGCAGGGCTTTAACTGGAATCTGCCACTCGGGTCATCCCGGATCTCTGTGTGTGCATGTGTCGCTCCTGGCAGAGCTGGCTGTCTCACCGGAGCCCCCGAGAATCCGATGAGCGGAACCTTGCCCTCGATCTTGTGCCGGGTCAGAGTGATGGCCTTGAAGACGTATCCCAGCTCTGCGGCGACATCCACCTTGGACCTCAGCCTTTGCAGGTCATCCGGATCCTTCAGTGGCTCTGGGAATGTTGGGCCTTTTCCTGGGACCATCTGTACTTCCATGCCCATGGCCTGGAGAGACACACACACACACACACACACACACAAAGATGGGCCACTCCTGTCTCCCTCGTGTGCTTGCAAGCACAAGCCCCAGATAACTCACCTGTGGAACCACCAAAATGTCAGAGAAGATGATGGCGGCATCGAACGGGAAGCGTCTCAGTGGCTAAAATAAAAATGGCAAGGAGAAGGAGACAGAACTTAGCCTGAGGATGGGAAGCATTGGGCAGGAGACCTGAGTCTGTGTGCTGCTCCACGCCGACCTGCAAGGTGAGTTCACAACACAGCTCTGGGGAACGGCACGTCCTGAAGAAGTCTGTGGCAGCCCTGGTCTCCCGGAATTCTTAAAAACACACAAACACACTCAATCAATGATGAAACTTGAGATGAAATCTGCCAGCACAATTTAATCAGAAGGCTGACTAATGCCATACAACAGAGAGTAGTCCTTTTTTTTGGGGGTGGGGGGGGGGGGTGTTCCATGTCCAGGTGAGCTTTACGCGCGCAGCAGCTCGGTGCCAGGCTCACCCGGTAGGTAGCGGCCCGCCTGTCTCATACACCACACGGGCACGTGCTGCGTCTCCTCCCCCCATGCAGCTCGCAGGAACGTGTCATTCTTCAGCTCAGGGAAATCCTTGGGTCTGTAAAGAGATGAGTCTGGAAGTGGCACAACTGCTAGCAGAGGTGGTCTTTGGGGATCTGGCCTGGATTAACCATATGGACAACAAGCAGAGTCACCCCCCCCCCCCCCATTCACGAATGTCTTAAGTTAACGTGATTTAATATAATGTAATATTTTATATTACTGTATATTGTTCTGGTAATAAGGTACTCACTGAAACGCTTATGTATCATTTTCCCTGTTAGATGTATTTGTGAAATTCGTGGCCCACCAATCAACAATACTCTTAACTAGCCTGGTTTTGGAGACAAACTATCGATTATATTAAAAATGTGGCATTTCATAAAATTGAATCCTAACCCTGTGATACAAGTATGGACTCGTGTTTTTTTTACAAGAAACAGCTGGATTCTTGTAGTCACTTTATCACAACTCCTCTCCCCTTCCATGCTGATATGGATACAGAAAGAGACAGAGAAGCAGGTGGTTACCACAGATAAGCTCTCAGCGCCCATCAGCAGTAATCAGTGGAAGAACCGTTAATTCACATGAACGTTTCTTTTATGCCAACTTTGGTCAGCTGTCTGGCGTAAGATTTTCAATTCGAGACAAGTCTGCACGCGCATTTACATCTAAGTTTTATTACCTAGTAAATAGTCTGTAGGGTTTGCAAACTACCCCAATACTTTTGATGTAGCTCATTTTAGGTTTATAATGGAATAATATATATTTGCCGGAATGTTTCTCGCGTGAGTTTCACGCTACATGCGTGAGAGCTGGCAGCCCTGCATATATTTTATTACGTAATTACTTTGACATTTATTACGGAATGACGTATCATGCTATATTTGGATTTCATTATTTTAGTTACGTTAAACCCGGGGGTCAGCAGAATCGTATAGTAATTAACGAAATGTAGGTATAATCGCCCGATTAACAGAAATCAAGGAGCGATGTAAGTTACTGCTGAGATCGCACAGCAGTTGCAGGGAGCCCATGTTTAAGAAATACTAAAAAACGTGAGTTACAAAAGTAACGCTCTTTGTAAAGCACAACCCACAAGCGTTTGCGCTTCATACTTTTTTAAAACAAAACTATTTACTAATTAGAAGAAATTGTGTCAGAGTTGCCAAGGATAAATACATACAACACAATCAGCACACATTAGCTACGTTATTCAAACACTGAAAACATTCTATGCTGTTTACAACGTGCACTAAATACGCTTATACAAAACAAGGCTGAACAGCTACAGCTAAACACCTCTGCGACTTTCAATGTTACTTTGAATAATCCATTTGACGTATTCTGTTTACGACCTATCCGAATATACATACAGAATGAGATCATCCTTGTCCATGTTAGCCCCTTTCTCCTTCGTGACTCAACGTTACCACTGCTCGCTGATATACCACTAGCAGGAGTGATAATAATGAAGACGACTGAAGACAGTAACAGTGATGGTGAACGGTCAATCGCGGAATTTAGTCATTTGAATATCACACTCCAGTTACGCCCCTTACCGCCCATGAGTGCACGGCCATATTGTGACGTCATACGATCAGCTGCAGGCCTCCCAAGGTGTCTAAGCAGCTGCCTGCTGGACTGATGCTGTTTCTAAATAGTTGTCGGTTAAACTTCCTCTCTCTGAACCTTTATACTGTACTTGATATTTCCCGTTATAATTGAGTTTTACAGATATAAAATGAAAGAACCACAGTTAAAATATAATATCCTTGATAAAATACTTTTATTTTTCAACAGGCCCTTTTGCCTTCAATTCCACCTGAACATTACAGTGACAGCTACATAACAGGAAGTTTTGACGCAAGCTGTACATTCTTCGCGGAAGGCAACTGTTTTATGCGTTAGAGTATGGTGTTTTATATTCAATGTCCACGCTAAAGCGACTTATAAAATAACAATTTAGTTATAATTGCACATCTTGTGGGCGGGGGTCTGCTTATTTTGCTCAGAAACGCCGAACTGCGGCAGGTTCTCTGGGACACGGACCGGTACGATACGGTCACGTCGGGGGCGGGACGCTGAGCCTGGATCCACACATATCTGCTGTTATCTGGCCGCTCCGTAGTGGGAGCAGCAGCAGCAGCGACAGTATTAGTAGTAGATGACGGGCAAGTGACCGGGTGTTGACTGCGGGGCATTAACGCCAGTGGCTGGTATGACACCGGGAGACAGCCCTCACGCCCTCCTGGGCCGGATCCGGTTCCTCAACCAGTGCATCGACTGTTTCAGGAACGCTTTACCACTACCGGAGAGCTTGTGCTTCGTTCCACGAGAGGTGTGCTATAAAATATGTAAGGATCCGGCATCTGGCTCCGGTGCCTCGGCGGCTCCGTCGGTCGCCGGCTCAGCCGGGAAGAGCCTAATCACGGTGTGGGAGACCCCGTCCCAGAGCAAGAAATCAGGCCGTTTTAACATCGAGCCCAAGAAGGGGACCTGCATCCGAACTACCGGAGAGGAGTACTGCAACAACCACGGCCTGTGGGTGAAGATGAACAAGGTAAAGCGGCGATTCTGAGAGTCGGACTTTGGTTGGGAACAGGTGACGCAATGCGCGAACCGATGCGTACAGTGCGCATTCTGCGTACGGAGAGCGAGGGCGCGCCGGTGCACGGGCACAAGCGCGGTGGCACGCGGATGATACCTTACGGAGGCGTGAGGAACGCGAGCCGGGCACGATACCAGAGCACGCTTTTTATGATCAGTGTTGATGGAATTTGAAAATAAAAAAATTATTACAGTAAAATATCTTAATAATTTGGGTCTGGATGTGTAATGTGACATAAAGGATGCCTTGTCCCAAGCTGGTTCAGATGAATTTTGTTAAATGATTTGAATCACAAATAAATATGTGGATGAATGTAAACTTCAGTGGCAATGGGCCGATGGGAGTGGGGTTCTGGTTATGATGAATATAGCATTTGTTCTGGATGATTTTTTTTTCTCTTCAGAATCTCTCTCTGTATAGTTGTGGTTCTTACACTTTTATGTTTTGTATCTAACTGAAAATGTTACCCTAACCATTATGGTATGATTGCAGGCATTAATTCAGACTTACACGGCACTCTGCCCCTGGCGGTCTCCCCCCATTCTCACACACGTTTGGCGGGGTGATTATCCTCCACACCTCAACCCCACTGTCCTTTGTGCAGGAGCAGCTGGAGGAGCAGCGGCCCGGCACAGACCTGGAGGAGGGCTGGATCCTGCTCTGCAAACACACAGAGGGGGGGGACCGGCTTGTGCCCGTGGAGTCACCTGACACCATCGGCCGGCAGCAGCAGCTGTTCGGCTGCGATAGCAAACCGTGCAGCAGGTACTGTGTACCTCAGGGATCCCCGGCTCCTGGGGGGGGGGGCTCTGCTGAAGTGACTGCAGGTGAGGAGCAGCCAAAGGAGGTGCTGTGAGCTTATGCGGACTCCTCTTTGTAGGTGGGAGCAGGTGGTGGATGCTGAGTTCTCCATGCACCTGGGATCCAGGCCGTGCATCGCGGAACTGGACGAGGCCGCGCTTCGCAAACTCCGGTGAGTCCGCCCCCCTCCTGCCTCACTCCTTCCACCTGCTCTCTCTCTGCCCTCCTGTTCTCTATCTGCCTCACTCCACCTACCTGCCTTGCTCCACCCACCCGCCTTGCTCCACCCTCTATGGCCAGCCTTTCATTCCAAGAGCAGATGATTGGATAGGAGATGTGGACCTTTATCGGCATCATCATCTTCGTCATCGCATGTTGATTACCACCCCCCCCCCAGGTACGTCCCGCCCACGTGGACGTTCGAGTGTGATGAGGACCTTATTCATTTCTACTACGAGCATGTGGGAAAGGAGGACGAGAACCTGGGTAGTGTGAGGCAGTGCGTCATGAGCATGGACGTGTCCTCCTGCTCGGTGAGCCCAGCCGCTGCCCCCCCCACGCCCCAGGCTTCTCCCTGACATCTCTGGGGGGGCATGTCTCAGGCCACACTTCTTTCTTACAGGAGGACCCCAGCAGTGGAGTCAGCTGCCTGACAGATGGTGACAGTGACACCTACTGGGAGAGTGATGGCATGCAAGGCCAGCACTGGATTCGTCTGCGGATGAAGAGGAGCACAGTGGTGAAGTAAGGAGTGTGTGTGTGTGTGTGTGTGTGTGTGTGTGTGTGGGTATGGGGGTGGGGCACATGTGCGCGCACACATTCACACGTGCCCCCCACAGCCTCCCCCTACCTGTCCACAAACCCAGTGCAGTCCTTCAAGCTAAAAGCGTGGGGTTACACTCACCAAGAGAGACTCACGACTCTCAATGGAATCACATACACAGTTAGGCTGTGTGCAGTGCAGTTAGCCTGAGTCATGTATATAGTTAGGCTGTGTGGAGTGCAGCTAGCCTGAGTCACGTACACAGTTAGGGTGTGTGCAGTGCAGTTAGCCTGAGTCACGTACAGAGTTAGGGTGTGTGCAGTGCACTGGAGTTAAGCTGAGTCACGTACACATGAAAACATGCATTCAATAACTTTCTGTAAACTGGAATGCACTTTGGGTCAACGCCTGTTGTTTTGCTATATAAGTAAATGACTTGACTTGCCATACACAGTTAGGCTGTGCACAGTGCAGTTTTGCTGCTTTTATGTCGTTGAATGTAGTACTCCAGATGGGCAAACTTTCGAGGACTTAATTTAGCAACCACCAAAAAAGCGTAGTTATAACGGTCAAAAAATAACTTGCCTAAATTAATTCATGTAACTGTTTGTTTGCCTCCAAAGACAGAGAGGGAGCATGACACCACTAAACAGTAATAAAAACATACATACAACAATGGTCTGATGTCTGCGCTGCTTCCAGTAATACCATCTCCCTCCATTCACATTGTCCCCATACCAAAATTCTTGATCCACAGCAAACACTGGCATGAGTTAATTAGACTTTAATGTCACTTACGGGCAGGTCCACGTGCAAGGTGAACAGGCTGTGTATCACATACAGCAGGGGGCACTGTCAGCCTATCCATGTGACCCCAATGTGGTTGAGCGTGTTCGCATTTCCCTCTCTTACAGGAAGCTCATTTTGACCGTGGATTCCACCGATGACACCTATATGCCCAGAAGAATTACCGTGTTCGGCGGCGAAGGAGACAGTTTAAGGAAGCTCAACGACGTCACCATAGATGAGTAAGAGCGGCGCTGTCCATCTCGCACATATGGGTGGATCTCTAAGGGGGAGGTGCTGGGATATTAAATCTGCTCTCATTCTCGACTGGTGTACCCCAAGGAATCTGATTGGAGAGGTGTGTGTTTTGGAGGATATAACATCACACGTCCCAGTGATTGAGATCCGCATTGAGGAATGCAAAGGTACCAGGACCGAGAGGATGGTGTGATGCTTGTTTAAACATCAGGCAGATGCCTGTGACAGTGTGTGTGTGTGTTTGTGTGCTTGCGTGTGTGTGTCACAGATGAGGGGATTGACGTCCGCATTCGCGGGCTGAAAATCAAGTCCTCTTGCGAGCGGGACCTGGGCCTGAACGCTGACATCTTCCAGTCGGCGGACCTGGTGCGTTACCCGCGGCTGGAGGGCACTGACCCGGACGTGCTGTACCGGCGCATGCTGGTCATCCAGAGGTACGGCCCAAGCAGAGCAGCACTGCCGGCGCGCGGGGGGGGGGCGTCTTGCCTAGCACTTCTCTTTTGCGTCACTGCATGCCTCCTCCCCTTGTCCCATAGATTCGTCACGGTGCTGGACGGGCTGCTGCCTCACCTGGTCCCTGCCTGGGACTACAGCCTTGGGACCTTCAACCACATCAAAGTACGTCTGTCCTTAGAGGGTGGCTCATCTGCTGGACAGATCCGAGGGCTATGGAATGACACCATGTCTCTCTGAACCAGCTTCCATATTCCTCTACCTTATCCCCCCTTTCCCTTGTCTCGTGTCCTCATCACCCTGTTTCTGTCCCACGTCTCCCTGTCTCTGTCCACTGTCCTTCCCTTGTCCCTCATCTGTTTCCCTCCTCTGTCCTCTTCTTCTCCCTCACCTCCATCTCTCTTTTTCCCTTGTGTCCCCTGTTTCTTCCATGTCCCCTGTCCCTCATCTCCCTGTCTCTGTCCACTGTCTCTCCCCTGCCCTCCGTCTCTGTCCCCTGTTCCCGCCTTCCCTGTCCTCTCCTTGTCCCTCGCCTCCATCTCTTTCTCCCTTGTGTCTCCTGTTTCTAACCCTTCTCTTCTCTGTCCCCCACCGCCCCTGTCTCCTGCCTCCATCTCTCTCCCCGCAGCATGTTAAGCAGTTCTTGCTGCTCTCCAAGCGTCGCACAGCCCTCATCACCCAGTGCCTGAAAGATTCCGAGACCAGCAAGCCCAGCTTCATGCCTCGCCTCTACATCAACCGGCGCCTGGCCATGGAGCACCGCGACAACCCCGCCCTGGAGCCCAGCTGCAAGAACGCTGTCTTCAATCAGGTAGCTTTGTGGCGTCAGTATCTGCCGTTAGTGCTGTAGTTCTCGAGACCGGTCTCGAGACCAATTTTTTGTGGTCTCGGTCTTGTCTTGGTCTTGACTGTATTTGGTCTCCGTCTTGTCTTGGTCTCGACTCTATTTAGTCTCGGTCTTGTCTTGGTCTCGGACATAGCGGTCTCGATGGGATGGGGAAAAAAAGAGAAAACTGCACATCCTCACAGAACAGTATCATTTTTTATTACGCGCCTCAATTCAAATGCAACCAGTCAGATGCATCCATTTCAAAAACGTTACATTTTATACATTTTCTCCAATGTATAAAATGTGATTGGAGACAAAATGTGATTTCGGACATTTTCTCCAAAATGTCCGAAAATGTCCGCGAAGTCTATAGCATAGTTATGATTCAAATAAATTAGGTATTTTACATTGATTAGAAAGCACGGTCTTGGAGGTGCAAGTCAATCTGGAGGCTCATTCTCTTCAATTCAAAGCAAAGGATCATTACATAGCTGTATTCATAGCTTACCCGAGGCCTCTGTCCCTGGTATAAGAGACTTAATATGAACATCTTTCTGGTACATCCCATCTATTTCCCTTGACAAGGTCTGATAAAATGGTTATAGGAGAGGATTGCTGAGAATATTATTTTCCATCAGGCCTCGTAACTATGACAAATCTGGGAGATTTTAAATGAGAGACATATGGACATACGGACAATATAATTGGAAAGATAACATGAATTTGATTTAACGAGTAATGACACTTTACAGCAATGCCTTTTTTCTCTACAGTTGATCTGGGTAATGTGATGTTGATTCTAGCCCTAGTCTGTTTTTGGTCTTGGTCTTGGTCTTGACCAGTCTTGGTCTTGGTCTCGCCTTAGTGTTTCTTGGACTTGGACCAGTCTTGGTCTTGGTACCCTCAAGTCTCGGCAGTGTCTTGGTCTTGATACCCTCCGGTCTCGGCAATGTCTTGGTCTCGGTTTAGGTGGTCTTGACTACAACACTATCTGCCGTCCCTCCAGTCACAGGGCTCACCGGTGCTTCCTCCGTTTATGTCTCTCAGGTGTATGAAGGCCTGAAACCATCTGATAAGTACGAGAAGATGCTGGATTACCGGTATGACTTAGGCCTCGGACACATGGGGGGCGTCGCTCTGTGCTGAGAAAGGTGGCCTGGTAACTGTGTCTGTGCTGCCCCCTAGGTGGCCTGCACGGTATGACCAGTGGTGGGAGTGCAAGTTTATCGCGGAGGGAATCATCGATCAAGGTGAACAGCTGGCTGGGATGTAGCCTCCCCATTTGCTCTGCATCTTCCATATGCCCCGCCTACCTTTAACGCCCCACCTTCCTGCCATCCAACTTGCTGTTCCCGCTATTGCCTGCAGGTGGCGGCTTCCGTGACAGCCTGGCGGATATGTCCGAGGAGCTGTGTCCCAGCTCAGCGGAGTGTCCGGTGCCTCTGCCCTTCTTCACTCGGACCTCCAACCAGGTGGGCTTGCACCCCCTGGGGTCACACAGCACGAGCCTCCAGGTGATTGTGTGACGGGTTGACCTGATGTCCCATGCTTGGTCTCATCAGGGAACCGGTGAGGCGAGGGACTGTTATGTGCCAAACCCTTCCTGCAAGCAGCTCAACAAGCTGGAGTGGATCGGCCAACTCATGGGCGCCGCCCTGCGGGGGAAGGACTTCCTGGTGAGAGATGGCTGTGTCTGTGAGAGAGGATAGACACACCGGCGTGGAGACAGGCACCGTATGTCCGTCCGTGACAGAGGACACAATGTGACTGTCAGCTGCCTGACACTGCATCCTCCTGTCACCCAGGTTCTGGCGCTACCTGGGTTGGTGTGGAAGCAGCTTACTGGAGAGGCTGTCAGCTGGAGCAAAGACTTCCCATCTGTGGATTCTGTATTGGTGCGTCCTGGGGTGTTGGATGACCTGTTAGGGACACTCCGCCTGAAGTGACAGCTCTCATTGTTTACGCTCCTCTAATGACTCTTTCATTTCAGGATATAAGTTTGGCTCTGTTGGGTTTTAGGAGAGAAGCTGTACCCTGGGGGGTCTTGATATGTAAAGTGAATGCTCTGTCATCTGTCTGTCCAGGTGAAGCTTCTGGAAGCCATGGAGACCATGGACAAGGAGACCTTTGAGTTCAAGTTTGGCCAGGAGCTGGTCTACACCACACTGCTGAGCGATGGCCAGCTGGTGGAGCTGATCCCGGGCGGCGCCAGCACTGTGGTCCAATACGAGGACCGCAAGGAGTTCATCCGCCTGGTGCAGAAGGCCCGTCTGGAGGAGAGCCGTGAGCAGGTGGGCCCTTTACCTGCCCCCTTGCCCTTGCCCCCACCCAGAGCTGCTCCCAAAGCACTCGGTGTAGGATGCATCAGAAATGAGGAGCAGCTCGTCACACACGTCTCTGTGCTCCAGATTGCGGCAATTCAGGCGGGGCTGGTGAAGGTGGTGCCCCAGGCTGTGCTAGACCTCCTCACCTGGAAGGAGCTGGAGAAGAAAGTGTGTGGAGATCCCGAGATCAGCGTGGAGGCCCTCAAACGCCTCAGTAAGCGTGTGGCTCTGTCTCTCTGCGCGTCACGCATCCTAGTCTGCCACGTCGAGGTAACGGTGTCCCTGTCACCCACAGCACGGTATGAGGACATGAAGCAGACGGATGTGCGTGTGCAGTACTTGTGGCAGGCGCTGACCAACTTCACAAACGGTGAGTAAGGCCGCCGCGTGGCTCGAGGCTTCACCTGCCCTCTGCCCCATCGCTCACCTCTAACCCCCCTTACAGAGGATCGCAGCAGGTTCCTCAGATTTGTGACTGGAAGGAGTCGCCTGCCTGCACTCATCTACATTTTCTCAGACAAACCAGGGTAAGGCGCCCGCCTCTCCACGGTTCAGTTTCTCCGTTGCTTCGCTCTCGCTCAGACGGTGCATCTCCCTGCAGCTCTGAGACGACCGAGGCTCTCCCTCAGTCATCCACGTGCTCCAGCACCCTCTACCTGCCAAATTACCCCAGGTACTGTGCAGTCGCCAACCTCAGTGATACAAGTACATAAGTATGGTTTACTAGTCTGGTCAGATGATATTAACTCATTAGGTTAAGACCTTGGGTCATGATTAGTTCGAGGGGTTGGACAATGCAACTGAAACACCTGGTCAGGAGTGAGCGTCAGGAAACATTTTCCTCCAACAGCATCACGTATCACCAGTGTTCTGCAGTAAGAATAGCTCAAAATCCCTCTGGTCACTGTGCAGGCTCATTGCATTGTCCTTGTATCCATCATCCACAAGTTGATGTGATGCTGTATTGGCCACAAAAGGAGGCCCTGCCCAATACCAATAAATGATTGTGGTCTAAAACCAGGTGTTTCAGTTTCACTTTGATTGACCAACCCCTGTACATTTAAGAGGAGAAAGTGATGTTTCCTGACTTCGATTGATAGCAGTTCAGCTTGTCATGTGGATTTATGGAGGTGAGGTTCTCCCACTTCCAGCTGGTCACCTTTGGGCAGCTCATTGGTCACATGCAAAGTCTACAACCACTTCTGGAAACTTCAGTGAAGTGCTGAGCTTCACAACGGCCTCCTGATGAAACGCTCTGGCTTGTGTCCGCGTTTGTCTGCCTGCCTGTGTGTATGTGCGTGTGTGTCTGTGTGTGCGTGGGTGTGTGTGTGCATGCCTGTGTGTGCCCTTGTTGTCTTCACAGTGCTAAGGTGTGTGAGGAGAAGCTTCGCTACGCCGCCTACAACTGTGTGGCCATCGACACGGACATGAGCCCTTGGGAAGAGTGACCCCCACCGCCGCATTCGTCATGGCTGCCATGCTGTTGCCAATCACAGCTGTATATAATCAGAAATATAGTAGATTATGAAAATAGGCCATGCATTTACCATGGCAAGGCTCTGTAACTTTAAATTAAAGCACGGTGCCAAACTGTGTAACCCGTCTGTTCCCAGTTCTTCCTCAGTAACAAAGACCGTCTCCATTCTTCATTCTCTGAGCCAGATGGTCTGAAAAACCATCAAACAAACGGGCTTCAAGCAAAAGCTCTGAGGATCCCAGGGGTCACTGCACTGAGCCAGAAGCTTCCGGAAACAAGCACCTGGAAGCATCGAGCCTAAACTCCAAACGAAGATATAAAGGAACATTATTAATCCCCGTGGGGCAGTGGGGGGTAGTTCGCGTCCAGAGAGTAACAGTCCAGGCCAAGGTTTTGTGACTCTTTATATTACTCAACTGGTCGGTTGAAACAATATCATGGTCTGGACCTGAACTACCTACCACTGCCATGGGGGGGGGAGAATTCTTTGTCCTGTGGCAGCGAAAGAATGATAATATAAGCAGAAATAAATATAACAAAGGATCACGCAAGTAAAAAGACAGATACATGAAGGAGGAACAGTACTAAAATAAGCATAAAAGTAATGAATAAATAAGACAACTGCGAAACAAACCGCCACTGCGATAAATATAATGCAAAATGGCTTTTATGCAAATGATTTATTTTGGAATGTTTGCAGCTGCTCTATGGAAATGACAGCAGTGCACAGGCATCAGCATATTCCCCTGAACACGCATTTATATATCAGACTGACTTAATGTCTGTGTTTCAGTCCTCTGTCACAGTCTGTGATTCTGTATGTCCTTCATTCCAGAAGGTGGGAAATATTTCAGCAAGTGCAGGGATGCAAGTCAAATTTAGCCTTTATATGCTGTGTGTGCTCTGCTGCTTACATCCTTCTAAAATGGTGGATGATACATTTATTACATTCCGTAAAAATAGAGTGACCAGATAGAAAATCCATCTCAGGGAGGACACTGAACCAGCATGACATTTATAATGATCTGAATTTCTGAGCTGTGTGCTGCTTGGTCAATCTCCTACAATCATACATGTGTCAACAATGTTAATGTCATGTTATTAGAAAAGTTCATATACATAAAACAAAGTGGGCAAAAACCAAACCAAACTTCACATATTTTCTGGTGGAATGTATGCAATACATAGATGCTATTCAGAAGTTTGAAAACAAAAAGCACAAAAAACATAACTTATTAAGTCCCTCCAGTGTAAGTGATGTGTGTGTAGTGTGTGTATTTTTTTTTCCTTTTCTTTAATAATTGCATTATCTCAATCTATATATATATATATATACACATACACACACCCCTGTTCATGTTCATGTGTTATGTTTCATACATATGTCATTGTAACTTATGTTGATTACTGGGAAAAAAAGGGAAAAAAACTATAACCGAACCATGCATGATTCAGCGGACTGCCCCCCTCCACGTGCCAACTCCGCCCACTGACGGGCCGCCGTTATTCTCGTTGTTTCTCGCGATGACACGGTGTTTAAATTCCCCGTGATCCGTGGGGCGGTCTCTTTCCTGAACGCTGATTGCGTGTTAGTCGTGTGCACGTTTATGGCGGCAGTTGCTTTATGTGCCATGTGGGGCTCCCGTTATTTACTTTTGTTGAAGAAAATTTGCAGAACATCTTGACAGAAGTTACTGTGATGGCAGTCTAATTACTTCGAGTGTACGATGCCGCTCTACAAGGTTCGACCTAAACCGCGGACAAGCCCCGGCGGGAGTGCCGCGCTTTGGCTCCCTGCTCCCCATAATGCCTGGCGTGTCTTCAGGGAGCAGCAATCCTGCTGAAAGATGAGTCGTCCTCCCAGGTAACCACTGCACGGTGGCTCTGTCGCTGCCATTTAGCCTGATTTAACCCGGGGTGTGAATGATGCAAAAGATTACCTTAGGCGGGTCTTTTGGTCGTTTTGGCCAATGGTTCAGACCCGCCCATGTTAGGGTATGTCATAGTTACACTGACACACTCCATCCCGACTTAAAATGCTGTAGTTTTTTCTTTCTATCTTAACCTAGAGGAATTTGTATCGCTGGTTCACTCGGCCCCTTTGCATGTTCCCCTCATAGCTCTCTGCATGGCCGCTGCGACCACAGGCTGGACCACGTGTACCTCTTTGCTGTGAATGATGCCGTACCATCTGTAAGTAGTGGCTGTACTGCTCCGCTGAAGTGATTCCTAAGTGTTGGCATATAAAATAAGGTTAACATTAAATATAAACTACGACTGGAGTGATTCAGTAACAACTGTCCGATTCTTTTACCGAATGTCCATAGTGAGTCTTACTCAGAATTCCTTCCTTTTGTCTAGGTCGTTCTTCTGCCTGAATTCTGCTCCTGGAGGATGTTGATTTGTTGAGCTGCTAGGTGAGTACCCCTCCCAGTGCTCGGAGATGATCCTCTGACCCGGGCAGGCCTGCTGTGCTGCATGCAATTAAGTAGATGCCATCCTCATGTGATGAAATCTTTTCCAGTTCTGCTACTGAATCCTAAGCGATGAGCATTTTTTTTTCCTGATGATGGTTGGCATCTACTGAAGTGAAATTTTGATAATTCCTACAAGCAAGGGAGTGGATTATATAAAACCTTGAACACTTGTGTGTCTTTTTGCCTTCCAGATGGCAGACCTGTCTGGATGGAGATGAGATCTGGACTTGCCTGAGAAGGACATGATGGGTTTTATTGGATTCTCCCCATGTCTGTGGGTGGTGCGCTACAAGACCTTCGACCTACTGCAGATTGCCGAAACATGGATAAACCCAAACCATCAACCCCACATAGTGTTTTTTTATTATGGTAATTGATTATGTGCAGTAAGACATTACTAGCATACAAATATGCTAATTATACAAACTGTACTCTTGAATGAAAGGAGTTGACATTTTAGTCTAATTTTCAAGGGATGATGGAAAAGATGTATCAGGGGATGACAGGGCAATTAAAACTGTGGTTTTATAAATTGACTAAGAAGGGATTACACTCCTCTAGGTGTGACTGGTTTAAATGCTACTGCAAACTTGCATTGTGTCTCTGTAGCTAAATACATACTTGCCTTAAGATTAAAAGACACCAATAAGCAAAGCTGTTTCAATGTGGGTTTTTTATTTTTTTTTTGGGTGGAGGGGTGTCAAAGCTGATCTTGGACCATGCTGTGTTACCTGGTCCCTGCCAGAGGCCTACCTGTGTTTGGGTCGCTTCCATCTGACATTACCATGTACTATTGGTACCTAGGGGACCTTTGCTGCCTATAGCAGCAAAAATGTAGTGTATGGGCAAATGTGCATCTGGTGTTCAAGTGCAACTTAAGTAGTGTGTCCAGGGTACTGAGATTTGTATGCTCTAGACCAATATAACATGCACAGAGAAAATATTATTAAAGGTCAATTTCACTGCAACAACTAATATTGAAAATGTGTTGTGTTCACGTGTTGTGTATTCTGAATCAGATCCAGTTATGATACAGATAAAATTCTACTTTTGTAGGGAGCAATTATAACCTGCCAGGACAGCCATCCCTGGGATGTGTATTGAACATCAGGAATGAAATCACCATCCACTGTGGTCTACACTGTTTATTATGGAATCTTAAAGCTCTGAGTAATTAATCATAATCATTGTAAGCAAGCTGTCCACAAAGGGCAGCCACCGTAGCAGCGCCCAGGGAGCTGGGGGCTTTGCTCAAGGAGCACACCGATGTGCTGAAGCTGGGTTTGAACCAGTGACCTTGTGATTACAGGCACACAGGCTTAGCCCACTGAGCCACATGAAATGGCTTTATTTCATGTATCTTTTAATACATTTGATGCCACAACCTGGGCTTAACCCAGAAATCTATGATGGAAAAAGTTTAACGGGAGGGAAGAAGCAGTGCTGCTGTAGCATCTGTGCTACCTACCTACCCGCAAAAGCTGCCTGAATAAGGTGGGAAAAACTGTTAGTTGCTCTTAGTTAAACTATTAGACATGCAGCTAAAAGTAACGAAGTAGATAAATAGTTACAAATTCATTAGTGGATAGTCACAATAACAAATTGTAACCAGAGTTAACAATCTGTGTCTGGTTCCAAGCCCACAGCCAGAAATACATTTTGGGAGGTGGGTAGATTTTGCCAACCGGTGCCTGGTCGGGAGCAAACAAATTTCATGAGTGTGAGCGTGTGTGGTAGTGGTGGTGGGGGTTATTGAGCAACGTCCTTAGCCTTCAAAACTTCACTATGAAACGTCGCAGGCACATACGATTGAACATGGGAGTAAATGCTGTCCTAAAGCGATGCTTATACTGTACGGTCTTCTGGACAAAACTAAGTGATCAAAATAAGCGCGCCTTCGCAATATCTAAAAAAACTCATACCGGCATGCGTACGCAAGCCTGATGTCCGAAGTGGGGGGTTACACGTCATTTCCGGTTCCAGCGAGTTCTCATTATCTCTCGCGATACGAGAGCGCTTGATACCGGTCCGCAGGCATTTCCGTTTCCTCTCTCCAGCCAGAACCTGAAATGGGTATGTGTTTGCTGTCTGGTCTGCGAACAGAATCCGTAACCATCTACCGGCTTACCGTGGCGAATATGCCGTATAAAGAAACATTTTTGTGCTGTATGCCTTAGGGAACCCCTTTGGGTCGATTTTGAATGACTACGAGTTCTATTTTTCTAATGAACTTAAGTGGTTTCAAGAGTCTTAAGCTGCCATGTATCAAAATGGCGGCCTGCATTCATTAAGCATTTTGGTGACACATGGCTCTGTGGTTCGTCTTTACTGTATCTGTCTTTAACAAGTCATGTGAAATGATCACCTCATTGCCCATGAAAGCTGCATACGCTTTGCGCTAGCTGCTCCTCGGGTAAACCCGGAGCGGCCGTTCCCGCCGGAGAGACATGCAGCCCGTTAGCCTGGTAGCCTATTAGCCGGTTAGCCTCGGTGCGGTGCTGGTGCCCCGCGACCGGCCTGAGTGCATGATGACTTTGCGGTATCCGACTGCGGCATGCGGATAACTACCTTGGAGAACTGAGCACTCAGACAGCGTGTGTCTGCTCGGCCATGCCGCTCCGTGCGCCGCTCACTGTCCGCTCCTCCGTCCTCCAGGTATCTCACGGGACAACTGGCACAAGCGCCGCAAGACCGGCGGCAAAAGGAAGCCTTACCGCAAGAAGAGGAAGTACGAGCTGGGACGGCCTGCCGCCAACACCAAGGTATCGGTCGGGTTCGGTCACTTAAGGCTGTTTTGGTCGGTGCTTTTGACCTGCCCGTGCTGGGTCTGGTCACCTCCATTTGCCTGGTGCTGCTGAGTGATCCTGAGCACTCTGTCTCCCCAGATCGGTCCTCGCCGTATCCACACAGTCCGGGTCCGTGGTGGCAATAAGAAGTACAGGGCCCTGAGGCTGGACGTCGGGAATTTCTCATGGGGATCAGAGTGTAAGTGTGGGGGCTTCCTCTGCATAGCTCGTGTGTGGCCTCCAGTCTTTCTGTGATGATAATTCTGTCCAGTTCTGCTACTGACTGCCAGCGATGACATCTGTGACTCTGAGGAAGACTCTTGAGGAAGCACTGAGCACCTACTGTACATCTAATCTCTATGGCTGATGCCAGGGGTTGATGATCATGTGACCTTGTCAAAGCTTTTCTGGATTATTGATGGTCATGAAATGTACAAATGTCCTGTTTTGCAGGCTGTACACGCAAAACCAGAATAATCGATGTTGTGTATAATGCCTCCAACAATGAGCTGGTGAGAACGAAAACGCTGGTGAAGAACTGCGTGGTTCTCGTTGACAGCACCCCCTACAGGCAGTGGTATGAGGCACACTATGCCACCCCTCTGGGCCGTAAGAAGGGGGCCAAGCTGGTACGTATATCAGCTCGTATGACTGAAGCACCCTGAAATAGCGGCTTGTTGCTCTTGAGTCTGTGCCAGCAGCAAGCTCTGCTGCAGTTCTGCTGATGAGACTGAGAACTTGTTTTATGATGGACATTTTCTCTGGTATCAGATGCATGTGTTGCCTTGGCAGTTTGCCCCATTTATTTAATTTGCACATGCAGCAAGGCTTCCATGACAGATCGTGTTGTCGGTCCCTATCAGACCCCGGAGGAGGAGGAAGTCCTGAACAAGAAGCGCTCCAAAAAGATCCAGAAGAAATATGATGAGCGCAAAAAGCAGTGCAAAATCAGCCCCCTCCTGGAGGAGCAGTTCCTGCAAGGCAAGCTGCTGGGTGAGTTGGTCCCTGTATCATAGGAAGCTGGTGGCCCAACTGCAGTGCATCGCGTACCTGTACTGCGCTTCTCTACAGCCTGCAGTATGTTGTGTGTCTGTGCTGTGTTTCTCTACAGCCTGTTGTGTGTCTGTGCTGTTTGATTATTTTTTTTTTGCCACCTATGGTGTCACATACTTGTACTGTATCTCTGCAGCCTGCAGTGCGTTTTGTGACTGAGCTGTGTGTTTCTGCAGCCTGCATTGCATCGCGACCCGGCCAGTGTGGTCGGGCAGATGGCTACGTCCTGGAGGGCAAGGAGCTGGAGTTCTACCTGAGGAAGATCAAGGCCAAGAAGGGCAAATAAAGCTTTTCATACTTCAATAAAACACCCTGAAACGTTATTTGGCATCCTGTCCTTTTTGGGTAAATGCTTTGTGTGGGGGGGGGGGGGCTGCACTGTTAAGTGACTGGAAGGCTCCTCAATGCCTCTCTAATCTCATTCCAGTGCTACAGAAACCTCAGTTTGCAGAAGGACTGGGCCAGACCAGTGGCCCCCCCCTTTCGAAGGCTGAGAACACCCCAAATAAGATGTGAATGTGTTTATGGGGCTCAGTCTGTCTTTAAGGGCAGAGTCAGTGCTGCTTAGTCTGGTGGGTGACATCAGGCTGCCTCTGGTCCCTTCTGTTCTCTGTTGGGGCAGTAGCTCCTGATTGTGCTATGGTCTGCTGCTGTGTTGAGGCTGTGAAGTTGCTTCACTTTAGAACTGGTGGTTTGTCCATGGATTGCAGTGTATTAGTGGTTAGTATTTTTCAGTTAGATGCTTACTCCTGTAGTCCTCCTGGCAATCATGTTGTGGCGTGAGTATATTGTGCGTTTCTGATCAAAGGGTCATAGTTTTAATGATGCCCTGTGTGCGGATGCAGTCAGCTCTTGGGGGATGTTCTGTTTGATGTAGCTGATCAGTTAACCTTCATGGGTCCTATGTTGAATCTGGCTGTGAGGAGCAGGTTTTGGTAATGTTACAGGGCATTTGTGACTGACCCCGGGTAGCTGTGATGGACTGTTACCCACAGTGAGTAAGGATGACATCTCGACATATGTCTATGGGATTTATTAAAGCGTAGCATCAGGCTTCATATGAAAAATACATGGGGGGGGAGGACAGCTGTCTGAAAAGGCTGTGAGGCCAGGTCACCTTCAGCATGCAGCCCCCCAGAGATTCAGGCATCGGCCTGTGGGTCGACGGAGGGGTCGATGACGACCTTTATCTGTGCTCCCTCACGCCGCCTCTGCTGTTCGGACGCCTCCAGCCTCCTGGGCCTCTGTGGGGCCACCTGGCTGGGCTCGTCTGCATCCTCGTCGATGCGCTCCGACCACTCGCGCTCGGAGCTGAAGCTCTCAGCCCGGAGCCGCAGCAGCGGCTGGGCCCGGCCTGGGCGGCCGAAGTTCTTCAGGCTGACCGCGGGGGAGGCCGCCACACCCCTGTAGTGACCCATCCTCGGGGTCTGTATGTGAGGAGTCTTGGGGGTCTCCACAGTTTGGTGCTGGGTGGGGTCCTCACTCATCCTGGTGGGGGCAGCATAGAGTGATGCTGGTTACATGGGAGGGGTGTGCATATTAGTGTTATTCTCTCTCACTTGCACATTTGTTCAGCAGTGGGTGTGTCAGCTAGACACAGATCATGGCACTGGTGTTGTGAGACCGTTGTAAGTTTTCTGGTTCTCTTGATTTTGAACAGGGAGTAGGAGGCTACTTGTAATCACAAGGTTGTTGGTTGAATGTTCAGACCAGCAACCTTGTGGTCACAGGCACAGAGGATTGAGTTTGAAAATGAGAAAAAAAAAATTGCCAGTGTTGTGATGTCACCACACCGTGAAACACAAGCCCGTCCCTCATTGGCCCATCAAATGGCAAAATCAGGCCGCGCCGTTGCACGCTGGCTGACCCTGCGCCGTGACCCCCAACTTTGTCCTTGCCTGTATTTGTGTGTGTCATACAGGAGGGAATATGCAGAGCAACAGCTTCTCCATGAGGAGGAGTAAGTGTCTGTATGTTTGTGTGGGCCTTGCCTAAAATGGACTCATGCACTCGTGCTTTTATCTTGTGATGCATTGTAATAAAGTATTCCTGACAAAATTTTGCATAGTGTTATTGCCGTTCAGAGGTTCCTGAATAAGATCAAAGTCTGTAAATTATCAAGATTTTAGCCAAACTGCCAAAAAAAAAATTAAAGAATATTTGTTCCTGGTCTTATGAGGAGAGGTTAGCCTTGAGCAAAGGAGAATTTGGGGGGACATGATCCAGTTATTAAGGATTCTAACAGGTCTGCATGCTGTTCAGCCAAATGGCTATTTCAATATTAGTTTAAAATACTAGAACTCATGGAAATTAGCGGGAGAACATTTTTAAATGAATTTGAGAAAGCACTTCTTTACACAGCGTGTAAGTTAGAGTATGGAATAGTCTTCCTACTAGTGTAGTGCAAGCTAAAACCCTGGGTTCCTTTAAATCAGAGCTAGATAAGATTTTAACAACCCTGAGCTATTAGTTAAATTCTCCCCAGATGAGCTTGATGGGCCGAATGGCCTCCTCTCGTTTGTAAATTTCTTATGTTCACCTGCAAAAAAATTCACAAATAAAGTGGAGTCTGACACTGGTTGAATATTTAAGCTGGGTACAGCCTAATTTAGTCACCCACTGTAGGTAATACTCCTCAGTCTCAAGGGTCATTTGTTTGCTTGTTAGCAAAAGTGCTAAACATCTTATTGTTTTGCAGTTTAGTGTCGAGTGCTCTTTTCCATATTTCTTCACACTTGGTCAATAAAAAAAAAAAATCAAGAACCATAAAATCTGACCAAATGAAACACCGTGTAAAAAAATGTGTGAAACTTAAATTTGTCTGACAAATTTGTCTGCAAAAGTTAACAGCAAAAGGCATTATTTTAAAAAGTTGTGTGGCTGCTACCTGAATTTTATAAATAACGGTATATTTCATGGTCTATTGTTAGTTTAAAAGAAACACAAAGGAGTGGCATGGTGGTACAGTGGTTAGCATTGCCGCTTCACAACTCTGGGACCAGGGTTTGAGTCTCCTCCAGAATTGTATGTTTGTGGAGTTTACATGTGTCATCATGGCTAGTTTTTGTAGCTGTACCACATGTCAAAGGTTGATCCCATGAAGGCCGGCTTGAGCGTCTCCATTGCTGTGGCAGCAGTGTAAGGCGGGCTGAAAGACTCCTCTGTCCAGTACTTATCCTTCTCAGTGGGCGGCAGGTTCTGGTGCATGTCATCCACAGCCAGCATCGACACCTACAGACAGAGAGGGGCACTGCATGCTATCAGGAACCTTGATACGCACATCACCTTAGTCCAGTCATGATACAAACCTGAATGTTTCGATCTATTAGCTGGTTCGTTTCAAAGTCATCGTCATCATCTCCAAAAGGGTTGATGATCTGTTCCCCCACCTAGAGGCAGAAGACAGGCAGATATGTTGACACACACCCCCCCCCTGGTTTCAGAGCAAACAAAAGCATGGCATGTCGGTGGGGCTCTTTACAAACCTTCAGCCAGCCAGCATAGAAGAAAAACTGCAGGAGTGTGAAAACGGGAATGTACAGGTCCAGGGTGTGACCACTGTAACCTTTAGCTGGGTTCAGAAACTGCCGTCCAATCAGGCAGAAAGTGAAGAAGGAGTACACGGCGAGAGTCACCACCTGAAACGCAGGCAGGCAGCCAGTCAGCATCCCAGCTCCATGTGCTATAGGTCCCAAATGTACCGGGGTGGTACCTGAGTGTAGACGAGTGGGATGCTGATCCAGTCGTAATGGAAAAGCAAACTGCACTTGGCTCTGTACTCATTCAGCTCCTGTGGGAGAGAGACGGAAATGCACCTGAACTAGGCAGGACAGGCGAATGGCTTTTAAGGCTGCCCAGCGGTGAAAGAGCTGAGCTTATTCATGCCATAACCGTAAATGAAAAAGCATAAGTGTCCATGTTTGCGCCCGAGAGACGCTTAAGCAGCCAGGAAGCAGTCAGCTTACATCCATGAGGAGACGGAGCGCCACGTCGTCCCGGACACGGCCCTCCCTGCGTGCCTGCGAGGCCAGGTTCGCGAACCACGTCATGGGCATCCAGTACTTATTGAAATCTGAATACAGAGCATCTAACTTCCTCTGCTCCTCCTGAGTCATAAAGCCTGAGGGTCACAGGGGGGCGGTCAGGGGGCACTGAGGTTCCCCGGTAGGGACAGATCAGGCAGGCTAAGCGTGCAGCGGGCATCCTCACCTGCCTCTACCACATGCTCCACGGTGGGAAAGCGCTTGCGTACCCGTGTGCTGACGGAGCGCAGGATGAGTACAGAGGACAGGTTGGCGTACCGCATGAGGGTGCGTCTGAGCATGCGGCCCCGCTCATCTGTGCCGTGCACGTTCCCTGACACAACCATCATTAGGTTGTCAGGCAGGGGGAAGCTGGTGTACTGACCCCACCAGCGGTTAAAGGCCAGGGTGACATAAAAGCCTGCAGGAATGACCCACAGAATGTCAACAATGCTCCCTGTTGCAGAAAAGTCAGTGGGACCATGAGGCAAGAAGATGGGGCCTTACCTAGTACAAATGACATGGGGATCAGGTCCGCAAACTGGTTGCAGTAAATGGCTGTTTGCTCAAACAGTTCTTGCTGTTTTGGGGTGAGGAGGCATCTGTTGGGTTATAGATCTTAGTTACGCTCCACACAGGCTCTGGGTAGGTGGAGAACCTTACTCAAACGTCTGTTTTATCAACTGAGTTTGAGTTGTTAAGTTAGATATCACTGTACCTGTATAAAACACTGATGAAACTGTACAGGAGCCCAAAGACCAGAAACTCCTTGTAGAGCAATTTGTAGATGCTCCCTTTCCACCTGAACAGTAGTTTTGAAAAACCAGCAAATCTAGCATCTGCTACCTCAAGTGTGTAAGAGACCGTCATGTCTCACAGTGTGCAGGGTTCCTGTGAAAACGCATAAGCCAAAGAAACATGTTTCCTGACAAAACCAGACTGAACTAATTAACGTGCGAGGGTGCTGCAGTTCTAGCAGCCCTGACGATGTTTTTCATCCACAAATTGTTCATTTAGAGAGAGAAATATCAGCGATCGCTCCTACCTGCAAAGTCCCGATATGCCAAGCACCACTCCTGCTTGTTCCTGCTCCTTCTCCGTCTGCAGTCCTGAGAAAGTCAGTAATGTCCTCTGACTTCCTCTTTTATGGATGTCATTCACTGTGCTGCTGATTTACAGGCTGGGAAAGCAGGGCTATGGAGGTGTGCCGGCTGGGCGCCCCCTACAGGCCATCGCCTATCGAGGTTTACAAACGGGGCCGCGGAGGTGTGCCGGCTGGGCGCCCCCTACAGGCCATCGCCTATCGAGGTTTATAAACGGGGCCGCGGAGGTGTGCCAGCTGGGCGCCCCCTACAGGCTGCAGCATTTATCCTAACAGTCAGGGAAACTGCTAAAACAGTTTGCAGTTTATGTCAAGCCACACAGGACAGTGTCTCCGATGGCATCATTATCCAGGGGTGATTTACAGTGTGTACTCATTGCTGTCCTGTTCTTTTACCATTATCTTAAATTCTAGCAGGACCATAGGCAGTTCAAAGGATCTGATTGGCTCTGTGTTGAATTATGGTTAGTGGTACATTGAGTGATACATTTTTATTTACTGCTGGTTATGTTCTGTAATTTATTGGGGAGTCACAGAGCCCCCAGGAGGACAGTGATAGGCTGAGAGCTTGAGTCATCTGACAGTTTTACAGCTGCATGGCCTTCATGCGGGAATTCTGTCCCCTTTAAAAAGCCTGGTGTCTGTAAACAGTCTGTCCACGTTTGCAGGTGAGAAGCAATAAATCATGCAAAATGCAGGTTAAAATTTAAGGTGTTTTCTGTAAAAACATACAATAATCTTAGTTTGAAATCTACCGTAAATACACATACATACACATGCATGCACACACACACAAATACACACACACTTTCCAGCTGCCAGTTAACATTCCAGCATGTCTTTCAGCTGTGAGAGAAGACACAACTTCCCAGAAAAGATCCCACTGAAGATTTCTCCTAAACATTTCTAGTTTCCACTTCATGACCACCAGGGGGCCCCAGAGCATTGCATGCCACCAGAGGCCAGCCCCGCCCCTGCAGGAAACCCACAGGCTGAGCCAACTTCCGCTCATTGTACAGTCGGGCTACTGGCGTGTTTTCCCGACGCTCACAATCACTTCCCTAAGCTGGGCCACTTTGCTATAACAGTGATATTTTATAAAAGCCGCCCCCTGAAGGCACCATTAATCTAGGGTTTTTAAAAAAGGATATGGTGGGGCACCCGGGATGTTCATCAAAGCACAAGTGTGGGATATGGCGAGGCACCCGGGATGTTCATCAAAGCACAAGTGTGGGATATGGCGAGGCACCCGGGATGTTCATCAAAGCACAAGTGTGGTATATGGTGAGGCACTCGGGATGTTCATCAAAGCACAAGTGTGGTATATGGTGAGGCACCCGGGATGTTCATCAAAGCACAAATGCGGGACGTCTCTGACTGGCTGCCGGTGCGAGGCCACACATACAGCCCTGGGTGATTTGGTCTCAAACAGCTTCCCAGGAGCACCTAGTGCAGAGGTCACTAATAGGCGGACCTGTCCGGACCCAGAAGCTGTCCCATACGGACCCGGACCAAAACAGAAAGTTATGATTTAAAACATGACAAGGCGCTTCTATTTTAACCGGTGCAGCTTTTGTAGTCTTTTCGGTAATGGTTTGGCAGTAGAACCACCATTTCCCACGCCAGTGAACGTCAAACACCTTTAACCGCCAAGCAAGACGTAGTTTGGCTTATGCAGCCCTTAGTGTTAATATGGGGTGACCAGATAATCCATGTCAGGGAGGACACTCTGAGCTAGGACAGGAATTGTAAATTACCATTTCAATTAAACGGACCTGGATTTCACTTGAGTACTGAGCTCTTGCTGTGTGCTGATTGGTCAGTCTCCTATAATCATGCATGTGTCACTAATGCTAATGTGAAACAGGTGGATGAGTCTTTCAGTCAAGGAAACAAACCAGTCAAAGCACAAGAAGAGCTGAACTATTTAGCTGAGCACAGGAGCCTTTTAATTTGAAAGTAGTTTGTAAAACCCGAAGTAACTCAAAGTGTCCTCCCTGACATGGATTATCTGGTCACCCTATGTTAATAGCAGCAGCGAAGCTAAAACCCGCAACCAAAAAGCCGTAATGTTCCTAACAGTGACTGGTCTGTTCTGAAATCATACAGCTGAAAAGTTTTCAAATACAGTATATATTATATAACATGTTGGATAAATAGACATAGTTTGTTGTTGATTTCACGTTCGTCAAAGTTTCTGCTTTTTAACATATGTATAAAGTAATGCTATCTGATATATAAAACTCAGGTGAAACAAAAAATGTACGTTTTCAGGGTTGCCAAATCTCAAGCATCTGGCATGACACTCACGCTTTCAGACTCATGCTGGAAATCTTATGGCAAATCTATTTTATTCCATTATAAAACCTAAAATTAGCTACGTCAAAAGTGTATTTACATGGTTAAATACAAAAGCAGACTATTTACAAGGTAAGAACTGTTACATGTGTGCAGACATTTTAAATTGAAAATCTCACTCTAGCCAGCTGGCTGAAGTTCTGTGTCACGTGACAATAAATATTGTGAAAACGTTTTTGAATTGTACTGAATTAATTTGATTTGACAGTCAGGTACCGATTACATATAATGTTGATACAACTAACAGGCTACTTAAATATATATCACTCGAAGTAGTCAGACATTGCGATCTTCTGGACCTTTGCGCCAAGAAATTTTCTCTAACTGGACTTCTTTAAATTTCTGTTGAATACCCCTGACCTATGGCCTTCCGGAGGCTCCCTCATCCCAGGTGGCTCCCTCATCCCGGGTGGCTCCCTCATCCCGGGTGGCTCCCTCATCCCGGGTGGCTCCCTCATCCCGGGTGGCTCCCTCATCCCGGGAGGCTCCCTCATCCCGGGAGGCTCCCTCATCCCGGGAGGCTCCCTCATCCCGGGTGGCCCCCTCATCCCGGGTGGCCCCCTCATCCCGGGTGGCCCCCTCATCCCGGGTGGCCCCCTCATCCCGGGTGGCCCCCTCCTCTCGGGTGGCTCCCTCATCCCGGAGGCTCCCTCATCCCGGGTGGCTCCCTCCTCTCGGGTGGCCCCCTCCTCTCGGGTGGCTCCCTCATCCCGGAGGCTCCCTCATCTCGTCTCCATGTTGGAGGGAATCTCCTCGCTTGCTAAACTCACAAGCAGGCAGCTGAGGCTCTGATCGCCATTGCTGTCATTTTGGGGGGGGGGGGGGGCAGCGGTTGCCAGATGGCCAGATGGCGGACCATTCCGGAGAGCTGGCCTTCAGCTGGCCCAGACCTACTGGGAGCAGGGGGCTCTACAGCCTGGATTCACACCGTCTCCCCTGGTGACACCCCCAGCGCAGCCGCTAGGGTGCCCGCATCTCCCAGCACACAAACGAGAATCACCTGCAGGCCCGGGACTGAACCCGAGGGCCCCACAGGTGTCAATGCCCGGCCCAGAGCAGGGGCCACATCATGAAGGGAGAGGGACCTGCGGGGGAGGGGGCGGAAACCAGGGAAATAAGAGACACTGCTACCCTCAAGGGGCCGGAGGCGGGGCAAGGCAGCCTGGGCAGAGCGATACAGAAAGGAAGGTGTGAAGCTCACAGCAGACAGTATCCGCATTCCCAGCAACTATCTGACAGCTAGTGTTTCCACGGTTGGACACTGCGCTGGTTACCAAGACGACGGGGACGGCTGAAATGGGGCACTACAGACTGGAGTAACAGGGCCCAGTCTGGAAAAGGCCAGGCCAGCGAGAGCGAGCAGACCATGGGCTCGGTCAGCGGCTGGGGTCTGGGGGGCACCATGGTCAGCCCTCCCCAAGGCTGCGCTGGGTGGCTCCTTGGGCAAACCCTGCTCAGCAGAGCCAGGGAAGCGGCTGTAGGCCCCTGTCCTTAGACTCCTGGCGAGGGGGCGGGGGCTGCCTGAAGGTGGTGTCTCAGGGGATGGTGCCCTTCTGAGGATGTCAAAAGGGCTGATCATTGTCACCGAGATGGAGGAGAATCTGTCGGTGGTTTGTGATGACGAGTAAACGGGAGATAAGTGAAGAGAACAAAAGGCAGAGAGAAGCACTTTAATACAAACAGCGGTTTGAGCTCAGAACAGACTGAACTGCGAAACGTCTGTCTGCTTAGCTGGTTTGTGAAAACTAGTAAATCAACAGAGCCAAACAACTAAAAAGAGTTAAACCTCAGATTTGACGTGAATAAATAAAGCTGTTTACACCAATAGAATAATTCTTTGATAAAATAGGTTACTTTTTTTCTGGGTGCTACCACACTATCAAAATTCACAGTGTACAGGTTACAAACCCCCATGAACACAGACATTAAACACTGTTGAGTTCACACACTGTAAAAGGCTCTGCTTTACAGGAGATATTGTTACTGTTTCATGGTTAGTGTATTTGAAGTGAAGATATACGTTAGCATCTCTAGGTTTAAAGTAAATGCTCTAATAATGTTTAAAATTAAAAATTAAACCATCCTTCCACATTAGAATAAAACAGAACAGAATAGAAACAATATTAATCCCTGTGGGAAAATTCTTTTTCAGCGGCGGCCCTAAAGCTGGGGGTTAAGGGCCTCGCTCAAGGGCCCACAGACATGCGACTATTCTGCTGAGGTTGGGGCTCGAACCAACAACCATCTGACCACAGACACACTGCACCACACACCGACCCCATAACATGACAGTTATTGTCTGAATACGACAGTACGTTGTTAAAAACAGCTGCCAGTGACAGAATGCCAAAGCAGAAACAAGGCTTCTGGAAGATTCCCTGAGCCTGTGAAGATCTGTTTCCCACCTGAACGTGGTCAGTGAGCATGGGGCAGTGACTCTGTGGCCTTGGTTAGTGGGGGGGGGGGGGACGAGGTGGGGCTCAGCATTTCATTTTCTGGTCTAAGGCTGAATGAATACATTTAGTTAACAGAAAGTTTCTACTCCAGCCATTAAACACCATGATCCGTTCACATATCACGGCATCTCCACGCTCTCGTACTCGTGATGATCCGAGTCCTCCGCACATCACGGCAGCTCCACGCTCTCATACTCGCCGTGATCCGAATCCTCCAGCTCGATCTCAGGGACCAGGCTGTAATATTCAGTCGATTGCACCAGGTACATCTTCTCCCGGTTGGCAGAGTCCGTCATCACTTCTGTGACGCTCACAGTCTCCAAATCGTCCAGCAGGGGGCCCCGCGTGCCCTCGTCCCCCCGCGCCTGGGGTGAGTCCAGCAAACCCTCAGAACCCAGGCGGATCTCCACCTCTTCGTAGAGGTCGCGACTGCTGCCCAGTAGGGAGGAAGCCGGCCGCAGCATCAACTGGTTCCTCAGAAGGGCATCTCTCAACCCCGCGCCCACCGACTCGGCTGCCCCTGCTCCGGCCTCGTGTCCCGCAGCGGCAGGGGGCTTGGACCCCACTGCTGCTGGCTTTGGGACAGACTCCTCTCTGTGGCGTCTCCTCCTGATGCACCAGCAGAGCAGCAGGGTGAGCAGGACGAGCAGCGGTAAGAGCACAGCACTGGCGGTGACACCTGGGGCCCAGCAGGCCTCACCGGGCCGCACTGACGCCAGACTCCGGCCCGCCAGGCTCTGCGGTGAGGCACAGGCAGGCACTCCCAACGTGGCCCGAGTCTCACTGGAGTTCCTCTGCGTCTGTAGGTGGCGTTGCAGTGCCTCCAGTAGCGGACAGGTACAGTCCCACGGATTGTCGGACAGATCGACCCTCCACAGCCGTGGCTGGAAGACGGAGCGCGGGAGGCCTGCCAGGTGGTTGGAGGCCAGGCGGAGCTCCTGCAGGGAGGCAGCGGCCTGCAGGAAGACCTCCGGAAGCTCCTCCAAGAGGTTCTGCCCAAGGTCCAGCACCCTCAGATGGGGGGCGCTGGCCAGGAAGCCATCAGGGACTCTCCTGAGGCTGTTACCCCCCAGGTAGACCTCCTGTAGGCCCGACGGGGAAGGTCCTTCCACAAGCAGCTGGCTGATGTTACAGTAGGACAGGTCCAGGACGCGCAGAGGCGCCATGGCCGAGAAGGTGGCCCATGTCACGCTCCTGAAGGAGGAGCCGGAGAAGTTCAGGCAGCATGACTCAGCCAGACCCGTGGCGGGGAAGCCGTCCAGGGCGGTGGCAGGGGGGCAGCGACAGCCGGCGGCTCCGGGGCCCCTCAGCGCCACACAGCACCATGTGACGAGTCCCCACAGCGTGCCGGCTCCTGTTAGGAAGAGATGCCACTGTGAGACAGGAAGGGCCCAGAGCCATGAAGGGGCCACAGCGGTTGGCTGCAGCTCCCACCGCTACGTTGATGCTGATCATGCTGCATGACAGTCAGCGTGCGGCGCACAACACGCTCTCGTGAGGCTGGTCCCGCCCCAGGCACACGTCTCCCTGGAGCCGCAAACAAGCCCAGCTCCTGGCAACACAGAAGCGGCCTCTCTCTCTGGGAGGTCGCCATGGAAACACAGAGAACGCCCCACCAGGGGGCGCCTGGCCGTCAGTGGCCCCAGCGGGTAACAGGAATTTAGAATTACATCATCAGGGTGCTACATGTACAGCCCAACAGTAAGAGCTGCTTATAGTTAGACATTAGATGAAAGGCAGCGGCCAGCTAGTTTAAGGTGTACAGCCCCTCCTATCCCCTCCTCTCCTCTGACACAGAGACAGACACATAAACCTTCATGGCGTGGGGCGGTCTGGTTTGGGTAGAATGGGCAGAGTGGCATGGGGCAGGGTGGCATTGGGTGACAGGGCAGCATGGTGTAGGGTAGGGTGTTCGGGGTGGCATGGGACTGGGTTGGGTGGACGTTCAGCCATAAAAGCGTGCAAGCAGCACCCCCCACACATAATCCCCAGGGACTGTAACAAAATTAAACGGACCCCCGTGACACACTGCCCCTCCCACATGGGGCCAGGGTGCCCAGGAGCCTGCAGCAAACCCAACTCCGCGTAAAACACAGCAGCTGTGGATGGGCCATGAAGGAGTGCAAAACCAAAAGCAAATCACACCAGCAGAACCAGAACCAAAGCGTGTGTGCAATGAAGCATGGGCAGCAGAACCAGGCCAAACCAGCTGAGGGAGTGTTTGCGGGAATGACCCAAAAAATCAAGTCCAGTAGGAGGGGCAGAACATTTCGGAAAGCAGGCTGGGGTGTAAGCAGAGACAGACATATGAATGTGGATAAACTGTCCTGAGGATGACTTCTCTAAAAACGAAGGGGGAGTCTCCAATTGATGAAAATAAGGTTGGCAGGGACACCCCAGCAAGACGCATGAAATAAAGGCTGACTGGGCAGTGTGCGTGGAGGCGCAGAGCGCATGTGCGCGCCCGTTTGGCCACGAGCCGAGCGGAGAGTCTGTGCGCTCAGCCAATGGATCACTAAAACACCCATTTACCTTTTTTGTAACCCTTAAAGTTTGCTTTAAAGTGTAGGATTTTATTAACCTTCATCTTATTGTTTCTGTTTACTCAATTTACTTCACTCGTCACAATTTTCCTCATTTTATTAGTTTTTTTTTTTTTTTAAGAAAACATTTTAATAGTTTCATGCAAGTTTGTCGATGGAGACCAATTGCCCAAAACAAAGCGAAGTTTCAAAGCTGCAATCGAGTTCTGCTCCAGAATAACTAAATAAAACCCTGAGTCTGTGGGGTTTCGGGTCTGGTAACCGAGGCTGGTTGTTTGGTTAAGAAGCACCTTGATGATACATGTTTAATGCGCTGATCCCCATCAGCAATCCGCCTTGTTCATATAAATAAACGCATCATTATCTCACTGTGATTTGAAGAAAATGAGTATTGCAGGCCGGATGAAATCAAGCAGGCGGTTACTCCTACGCAGAACTTACACTCACACCTGACATCGCAGTAAAACACCATAAAACGATCAGTTCAACTTCACACCCCGCTTCAGGATGCACAGTCTCCGGCTCAGGCTGACCCACCGCCGCACCGTACCTTTCCGTGGCATCGCTGAATGCTGGGGCTCCGCAGTCGAAGCTCCGGGTCCAGGTCAGGCAGCGCTTGGCTGGTAGTGGCTCCTAGACGCCCCCTACCCTGGGTGCGGCTCAGCGGGAAGGGGGGCACAAGTAATACCGCCCTGCTCTCAGCGCACGGTTAACCTGCTGCTGCATGGTGCACCGAGCCCACTCCAGTGCTGGCACCTGGTCTTATACGGCCCAGTAGACAAGAGTTCTTATAAAACTGTTTCAAAACTAAATCCAGTCAGTCCATTCGGACTAATTCTTGAGTATAAAGTCAGTATCACTACAGTGCTGGGCGAGAAAAAGTGAACGGCGAGAAAAAGTGAACGGCGAGAAAACGCAAATTCCCAGTGACAGCAAATACAACGAAACCTATTACTTTGTTTGTTTTTTTTACCGAGAGTAACTATTCCTGCTGTCTAGAAAATGCTCACCCTGAAAGACGCCTTTCGGCTTGTAGAGATGCGTTTCACCTGGTGGCACAGCGCCACCCAGTGGCAACCGAGTTTATAACATCCCAGGGGTGCTTTAATTTAAACAACTGGTACAAACTAAAGCGATTATTTCTCAAATTAATGTAATGCACAATTTTATCTTCCAGTACTAAGACATATAGCACCTAGGAAATTATGCAGTATGCAATTTTTAATTATGCTATACTATATAATACGTACGTTCATTTAATGAGAACTTTCTAAACGTTTACATTATTCCGAATTTTAAATAAATGTTGATTATAAAATCAAAACTATATTTATTTTTTCCAGCTATCAGGTAAAACGTTTTAATTTTGTGAAACCCTGAGATCCTGGAAAACAGTTCAGATTGAATAAAACATGAAACATTATTAAATTAATGCATATTGTACTGTAAATTCATGCTGCATATTGAATTACTGGAAAGTCATCGGTGCCTCCAGCTTTGAAATGCAGGAATTGGTGTGTTTCGTATGAACTCCTTGCAATATACTGTCCACAGGTCAGCGTGGATTAAAACCATTATTCTAACTGAAGTTACGGAACAATGAAAGTCCATTGATATATTCAATATTTGTGCTATATAAATAATCACTTATAAAGTTGTGTACATTTTTGTGATTTAGGTTATTTTAACATTAATGTTTACTTCGTCTTAATACTGACAAAAACGTTTTGGTTAAATCCCAATGTTCTCCACTAGATGGCAGCGCAGCACGTGGTAGGAAAAAGTGCATCTCCGTACATTCGGGAACCATTCAAAGGTTTAATTACAGATTATTATTAGTCTTTATACTTTTTTGATCCTTGCTAACTTTGTGCTAAGCGTGTGTCCATACAATACCTGAGTTTTCTTCAGAGAGCTAACTCAACTATTTAGATACAATTTATAGAATACCATGAACAGAATCATAATTGAACAAGCATTTATTTAAAACATGAAAATATATGAACAATTTAGAATAATTGTTTTAAACAAACTGTACATTTTTACATGTTGCCAGAAGTTGTTTGAGATGGCTAACTGATTTTGTTGGGCTATCAGTGTTCCCTAAAGCCACATACCTATTCCTCATCAGCTTCACAGACACAAAAACAAATTCAGCACAAGTGGTAAAACACTCACAACAGACAGCCGAAAAATCTGCTTCAATGACAAAACACAGCAAAATGATACATTTTCAATACAGACACATGCAGTAGTTCCAAAAAGAATAGGGAGATAAAGCAGTAGCCCTCAGAGAGAGCAGGCAAGGACAGGAGAGATAGAGGAGGATGAAGAGGATGAGGAGAAGAAGGAGGGTGAGGAATATGAGGATGAGAAAGAGGAGGATGAAGAGAATGAGGAGAAGGAGGAGGGTGAGGAGGATGAAGAGAATGAGGAAGGTGAGGAGGATGAACAGGATACGGAGGATAGGGAGGAGAAAGGGGATGATGAGGATGAGAAGAAGGGTGGTGAGGAGCGTGAAGAGGAGGAGGAGGGTAAGGAGCGTGAGGAGGGTATGGAAGAGGAGGATGAGATACACTGCAGGGTGGCGACACGCAGAGAGGATGCCACAACACATCCTGCCTCTCACGTCTCCGTGTAGACTGAGGAGATCTGGTTCAAGCAGCGGTCAAAGCCGCCCACCTGGAAGAAGATGGTCTCCTCTGGGCTGGAGGTGAACTCCTGCATATCTCGGACCACGCCAAAGCCTGCGGAGAGTCAGAGACCCAGTGTGGCTTTGAGCACCCTCTCTTGGTGTAGCGAGACACGTGAGATGTGAGACACGTGAGATGTGAGACATGTGAGATGTGAGACATGTGAGACAACCAGAAAATAGCACCTCCATGCTTTACTGATTTTATTATTAATATCATTCTTCTTATTATTATTATTTATTATTATTATTATTATTATTATTATTATTATCACCCTTTTATTAAGATCAATATCAGGGCCAGTATCTGTAAGGGACTTGGTCCTGTGTTTGTGTCTCACAATCAGTCTTTTTCAGAGGCGCCCGTGATGTCTGGCGTCCTCTGAGAGGCGCCATCACACAGTTTCCTCCCCCAGAATCCATCTGTCTCATTCAGGCCCCCTGACACCTGCCCCATACCTCCCATCCCCAGAGTTAGCAGGCAGTGCCGTACAACCCGACAGGGGCGTCAGTCTCCTTTTACGAGTCTGACATAGACCTACTTGCAATAGGAGACACCCTCTCTAGGATGCGGCTCGGAGACAGACCTGCGGGGTTCCACATGACAGTGAGAGGTCAGTGCTGGAGACGCCTCACCAAGCCGAGTGTGGGACTCACCACTGGCTGGGCCGCTGGAGATGGACACGGGGTAGCCATTCTGCCGGTGGGAGCTAAAGCAGTGACCGTCTCCGGATAAATGGACATCGCTCACAGATTGTTCCATTCTGTAACTGTCTCCGTAATGGAAGCAACTGTGAAAGCTGCCTTGGTAACCTGTAGAGGGCAGTAGAGCGACAGGAAGCCATGAATAAAAATGGAAAAAAAACATAAATTGCTTTACTTTTATAGGACCTGGAAACCACAGCTAGTGGTGACTAGAGTAAATGGCCGAAACATTTCTGAACATTTATTTCTGACAAACTGGTTTTGGCACAGGGCCAGGCGGCAGTGTTCTGGCATCTCGGGGAGCGGGAGCATTCGGGAGAAGAGCGATGGGCTCAGTGTCGATCCCAGTGGCCGCATCTCTAACTGGTCTTTGATATACAGCTGTGATGCCGCTGAGGGGACAGCAGAAGTCGAGGGACTTTACTTGTGACCTAACAGGGTGTCCTGGTGTAGTGACAGCTCCAGGTCCCCTGCTCTGATACACATCAGCGGAGCTTCCTACGAGAGTGTGGCCCTCAGGGCGCGATAAAACTGTGTGCTTGTTGTTTTCCTGTACGGGAGAGTAATGACTATCACAGATCTCGTTAAAAACTATCCTGAAATTGCAGTTTTTCAGGGCCGTCCCCAAACAGCAGGGGGCAGCATGCGACTCCATGCCGTCAGGAGCCCGTACACTTGGTGCTTCTGTCATTCCAGGAGTTCCTGGGGGTCCGTGGATATGGACGGGCTGTTTACTGTGCCCGGTGTCGTAGGGCGGAGCCAGCACCACTGCCATGCGGCGCCTTGGACACAGCCAGGCCCTCTTGCGAAATGTGTCCCCCTGAGCCCGGCCCAGCCTGGTGATTGCAAAAGCTCCCCAGAGGCCCATAGCTGGCATGGAGGGCCCCAGCCTGCACTCTGTGCTTCATCTGCGAGGGACTGAGAGCCCCACTGCTTTGTCGACAGCCATGTGTTTATGTGGAGCAGCACCAAGCAGCACGCCTTTGGGGCGATGGTCACATGACAGCCATGGCAGCTTCCTATTGGACCATGCTACATGCGTGTAGCACATAGAATAACAGTGAAGGGAGTACGAGGTAGGTGGCAAGCATGCGCTTGGGGGCTTCACGGTCAGTGGGCTTCAGTCAGGGGGCTTCACAGTCAGGAGTCTTCACGGTCAGGGCCGCTGTGTTCTTGCAGGATTCACGGTCAGTGGGCTTCATGGTCAGCCCCAGTACACTCTCCGAGGTTCACAGTCAGGGGGCTTCACAGTCAGGGGGCTTCATGGGCAGGGGGTTTCACGGTCAAGGGGCTTGATGGTCAGGGGGCTTGATGGTCACCATACTCTTAGGGGCTTCATGGTCAGGGGTCTTCATGGTTAGGCCCACCATCTTCTTAGGGGTTTCACAGTCAGGGCCACCGTCCTCTTGGGAGCTTCACAGTGAAGGTTGCCATGCTCTTGGGGGCTTCACGGTCAGGGGGCTTCACATTCAGAGGGTTTCATGGTCAGGGGTTTCACAGTCAAGGGGCTTCATGGTCAGGGGGCTCCATAGTCAGGGGGCTTCATGGTCAGGGGGCTCCATAGTCAGGGGGCTTCACAGTCAGGGGGCTTCATGGACAGGGGGCTTCATGGTCAGGGGGCTTCATGGTCAGGGCCACCATCCTCTAGAGAGCTTCACGGTTAGGAGGCTTCACGGTCAGGGTCACCATGCTCTCGAGGGCTTAATGGTCAGGGGCTTTGCAGTCAGCGGGCTTGATGGTCAGGGGGCTCCACAGTCAGGGTCGCCATGCTCTAGGGGGCTTCACGGTTAAGAGGCTTTACAGTCAGGGTCACTGTGCTCTCGGGGACTTCACGGTCAGGGGGCTTGATGGTCAGGGGGCTCCACAGTCAGGGCCACCATGCTCTCGGGGGCTTCAGGGTCAGGAGGCTTCACAGTCAGGGGGCTTCACGATCAGGGGGCTGCACAGTCAGGGTTGCCTCTCTTGGGGGCTTCACAGTCCAGGCTGCCACATGCTCAGGTGCTCACAGAGAGTCTTGCTACATTCCTCTGCTTCCTACTATAAGGGGTTGACCCCCCCACGCTGCAAGCCCATGCTGTCACGTGCAAACATTTAGGGGTGGGGGGGCACTAAATACTGGGAACAGACTGAAGTGATTACCCTGATTCGACCCATGTGCATTCACAATGGGAACAGCACAGCAAACACAATCATAAACGGTTAATAAAATAACAATAGGGCACTTTGTTAAAGGCCGCTTGCGAAACTGGGCCCGGCATCGGGCTCCGTGACAGGGGCATTGCCGTCCCCAGCCTGTGCGGAGCGGCACTGGAGCGGCCCTTCAAAGGCTTTCCGAGCTCCTTTCAGCAATGCGGGAAACCCCACTGCTAATGCCTTAAACACTGCATCCCATTACACTTTAGGGCCTCTCGCATGTCCTCCCCCTTCCAGAGATATAATTCAAGTTGAAAGCCATTTCTATCTAACTGGGATCTACAGCCCAAACCATGGCAGGTCCAGTTCAGGCTGCGTAATGTTTTTCTTGCGCTCTCTTTCTGTAGCTCTGGGAACACCTGACAAGTAAATATCTCACTCGTATGAGGGGGCAGGGCCTCTTAATACAAGCGTTCCAGTCAGTCCCATTCAAAAGACTGTCCTGAATACCTCCCACCAACAGGGGGCCACACTCAGGACATGAGGGGCTGCTGCGTACACTCCTTTACTCACTTCAGTGGATGCAGTATCTCAAAATATATTGCCTGACCTTTCTTGAAAATGACCTCTAGACATTTCAAAAATATGTAATTAAGAATGGATTAAAGCCACCAGTCTGGACAGAAAATGAACAGTCACAGACCCTGCACAGGCTCAGACTCTGCTCCTGGCTGTCTGTATATGACTGGGGCAGCATCCTGCCTGGGCTTCACCCCGGACAGACATGTGCACTAGCTGAACCTGGGAGAAAAACTCTCATAAAATAATGATGCCGTAAAACGTAATGATTACTCATGGAGACGCTGTGAATAGAAGCACAAACAGGAGACACATTGCCTGCCTGTCACAGTCTTTATGGCTTGAAAACATTCATAGATGGAGCATGTAAATCATTTTGTAACAGCCCATCAAACCTCATTAAAGAGAAGGTTTGAGCAAGACTGGCACTGAGCGGGATTCCCAGGGGGTTGGGGTGGGACTACGGGGCCGTGCCAGCCTGCTAGGCTCACAAGCTCGTGCCACATTAGGCATGCAGATCAGTCACCTCACCTGAAGGGACGGCTTTCAGACCTCTGTCCTTACCCATGTCACTGTTGTAGCAGTCAATTAAACTCTAAAAACATAAAGGCACGATAATTGCTGGCAGGATATCCCCCCCCTCCCCAAAGTGACCCAGCCCTTCAGACTCTACCTTCATGGGCTGAGGGGTCGCTGAAGTGGGTGTAGGGTTTGTGCTGGGTGGGAAGGTGGTGCTGGTCAGTAGACGGGGTCTGTTTGTCCAAAGGCAGCATGGATGGTCCAGGGGTGCGGATAGGTCTGATGCCTGGGGGCAGGAGGGCGGTTCCGAGCCTGGCACAGGTGTAAACAGGTAAGCATGAGGAACATAGAGCTACATTTTGGACCAGGAGTGCTGGAACATGAAAGCACTAATCTTTACTAACCAAACAGGAAGACCAGATTCTAAGAATGATATTCGGTACTTCAGAAAAAACACAACTCACAGTGTACACCGACTGGCTGAGGAGGTCACCGCTGTTCTAATGTACGTCCCTGTGGTATTACATCATACGCCACCTCCCTGCGGCACTCTGGCACTCTGATGGCAAATACTAACGTGCTGCGACACCCCACCTGTATTGTGTCTTGTGCTAACTGCTGTGACACCTGTGTACACCAATTTGCTGTGAAATCCCATCAATGTTACGTAATAAGCCAGTTCCCTGTAACACCCCAGCAGTGTTACATCTTACACCGACTTGCTGTGATACCTGTCTGGTGTTATATTATACACTGACTCACTGTGACACCCCGCCAATGCTATGTCTTGCACCAACTTCCTGTGACACCCCACTGGTGTTGTATCTTACACCGACTCGGTGTGACACCCCACTGGCTTTATATCATACACTGACTCAGTGTGACACCCGCTGGTGTTGTATCTTACGCCGACTCTCTGTGACACCCCACTGGTGTTATATCTTACACCGACTCGGTATGACACCCCACTGGCTTTATATCATACACTGACTCAGTGTGACACCCGCTGGTGTTGTATCTTACGCCGACTCTCTGTGACACCCCACTGGTGTTATATCTTACTCTGACTCAGTGTGACACCCCACTGGTGTTATATCTAACGCTGACTCAATGTGTCATCCCGCTAGTGTTACTTCTTACACTGACTTGCTGTGAGGTCCTGCTGGTGTTACAGTGTACACTGGCTCACTGTAATAGTGTAATGGCTCCCTCTTCTGCACTGCTGATGACGTCTCTGTGATGTGTGATGTTAGCTCATTCTTTAACCATAAACTGTTTCCTAGTATTGTCCTTTATTTACCTTATACTGTTTGCAGCATGGAAAACTTGGGGGCAATTCAATCATTTTCTGTTCTTCTGAACTGACAATTACAAGAAATAAGCAGGGAATGGAAGAGTTTTTGGAAAAATAAGAAAAAAATTCTGGTTGATTTGCAAGTCCAGGTACTTAGAATAAACTCTCCGGCATGGAGGAGCTGCAGTGTTTGCGTAACTTGCATTAATCAGAAATAAACACAAACTGATGAAATCGGTTAAACATAAGGCTTATTGTTCTGTACTGATCCAGTGCTTTCAGTAGAACTTTATGCTATTATGTCTAATTTTGCAATGGAGGAAAGAATTCGGATGAGGTCAAAGTTAAATATAAAAATGCCCCCCCCCCACCTTTTGTTTTACTAAAGGCTACATTATTGAAAGCAGAAATGCAATGCTCTGTCAAAAGCTGGTGTTCCTAAGAATGACTTTGTATTCAATCAATCCTTTATTCTTTTTTTTAAATAAAAATATTCACTCTTCGAGAGACACTGAATATGAAGCTAAAAGTATAACCAAACAGTAGTAAATATGGGCAGGCGAGGCAACGAGGCGTCCCAGTGCAGAGACTGACAAAGACCTCATTCATCTCACTCCGGAGTAGCAGAGATGACCTGATGGCTCCCATTCTCTGCTGAGAGCTGCAGCTCAGCCGTAATTGCTGTAAAACCACAGAAAACCACAGTGTGACTGGTAGCTTCTCCTGTCCAGATGGGGTTTCAGAAATGAGCCGCTGACACGTCTTCAAAGGACAGCTCTCCGCTTCGCAGGAAGGCAAAGGAAGCACAGGCCGAGTCCTGAGCACCCAGCAGACCTGGTTCTGCTACCACTGGCCGGGAGTCTTTTGTCAGTGCCGGAGCGAGACCCGTCAAGGCGCGACGTGACTTCTGACCTTTCACTTACCACATCAACAGGCCCATTCCATTTCTCTAAGCAAAAGCAAAACGTGTTCAAATGAAACAACCTTAAAAATTATACTGTAACTGTAGTTGTTTGAAGAGACAGAAGAACGAGATCATACTGGAATTTTTCAAACGGTGAACTTCATACCGAAATGTTTCACTGCTTTCATGCTTGGTGAATTCCAAACATCACATGCTTTCTACTCTGTTTTATTAGTGTTGTCTTAAGCCCTGTGTTACCATTTGCTAAGACTATTACTAATCCGAGTCAGATCTGTCAGCATGTGATTAACAGTCGTAATGTCAGGAACATTTCTTAAATCTTAATGGAAACTCCAGCAATATTGAAAACACAAGTGCTACAAATTGACCTTGAAGATTTGTCAAGATAAAGCTAATTATTATGAGGGAGCATTCAGAAGAGTTATTCTAACCTTAAAGCCAATGGCAGCTAAAAGACAGAACTGTCACCATGTCCCAGCGCTGCTTGGAGGACGTTGTGTTAGCCCCAGATCTGACTTGCATCCCGAGGACTGCGGCTAATCGAGTTGCTGGCATGGGACCCAAGCCGCTGCTATATGTTTCTGTACGGAGCCTGGTCCCCAGGGGGCTGCTGTCAGCACAAACTCAGGAAACAGTTATACTGTTCATATTTTTACAACCAGCCTCTATATGCAGCTAAAGTGAATCAGAAGCTAATCACTGCCAGCTGCCATGTGCCGTGACAGCTGGAATGGCTGGAATCTTTCATGTGCCATAAAAATCCTCGCTGAGGTGTTTACTCAGCTCATCGTCCTCATGTTCTACAGCTTTTTTCCACACCGGGCCCCTCTGACAAGAGCCTTTGCACACATCCCAGAAACCAGTGCCAGAAACCATTCAGATGGCCAGCTCTGACCAAAGCCCCTGTGGCCTAAGAGGTGCGTCTGGGAGCCTGCCACCAGGACCATTAACCTGGTCTCGGATTTCGGTGTTTCATGAGAGACCCATTTTGCTCCACTCAAAGTGTGTCCAATACATCCCAACAAGACCGAGGAAAACAGAAACAGAGCTGATGCTAACAACTACAGACTGTGAGTGCAGAGACACACAGAAACAGAGCTGATGCTAAGAGCTACAGAGTATTAGCACAGAGACATGCTGATACAGAGCTAATGTTAACAGCTACAGAGAATTAGCACATATTCGACATATTCGGTGTTTCTTAATATGCATACTTCACCGTGCTCGTGCTCTCGCATACCTGTTTTACGTCATCTTTCATTGTCAGAGACCAATTCCAATACAAAGTACAGAAGTACAGAGGACAGCGAAAAATGCCAGGATGTCATTTTTGCCCCACCCCAAATATCAAGGATGCATCGGTTGCATCTTTGCCAATGAGGAAAATCCCATGATTCACTGCGTTCCAAGTTTCTTCTTGAGAGGCAATTTAAAAAGACTGCTCTTGCCAAGAAAACAAGTACGTTCTTTGCATTCTTGGTATTGAGAAACACCCACTGAAATTGCTAACAGCTACAGCTACTGAGTATTAGCTCAGAGACACACTGAAACAGGGCTAATGGTAACAGCTACAGAGCATAAGCACGGAGAATGGGGCTGCCATTATTTCTATCAATTAATCTAACGACTATTTTACTGATTTGTTGATTAATCTAAATGATTGATTTTCTGGAGGAAAATCAAACTGACCTTTTCATTCAAGTAAATTTTATTTTGACAACAACAAAATATATACCATTGCAGGGCTTTAAATAATGCACGCCGGCTTTCCGGCACTAAACTGACGTTCCTTATGCCCAGAATTTGAAAAGCAGATTAGTAGTATTCCTAAAAACAATAATGAAAGGCATCGTCACGTCCCTAAGTTAATCTGTACCATCAATCCACACAGAATATGCCCAGATTTTAGCCTAAACATTTTCTCAAACACTTATTCAATGGAGATTCTAATGTAGCAGTCAGACACCTTTATAGCTTTAATGAGTGCATTTAGCAGATATAAGGACAAAAGATATTAAAAAGCTCTCTGTACTAATGGTAATTTAATAAATATGAATAGACAGCTCTTTGGGTGATTTTGCTTATTCTGGCGGCCCAGAATAGCGGCTGTGTGTTTTTTCTTCAGACACTCTTGCATAGCGATAGTGCCCCTGTAGTTTGCACAGTGTTAAACCACCTTTTTGTTTTGTGATAATTTGAACTACTCCCATAATTACGTAGTGATATTAAAGGGTGTATTCATTTGTTATAATGAATTGAAGCATTTTAGAAATCAAAAAGATAATATTTTAAAAATAATAAAAAAAAAACGATAAAATATTGATGACTGAAACACTGAAACAGAGCTAACGCTAGCAGTTACACCATGTGAGCGAGGAAACAAACTGAAATAGAGCTAACGCTA